TTTATTTCTATTGAATCTTTGCATGTTAGGATTTTATTATTCCACGCCGATCGTTTAGGAATGCATTTCTTTTGAAGTTCCGCACACTTGACTTCTCGCTGTTTTAGTTCCAACTATTTGGTCTCTTAAGCTTTCAATGTTTTGCTCATTCTGTTCTTGTGTTTGGGTTTTATCCCTTGGACATTTTGAGAGATGTTCTGGCCATTTTTGAATTCTTTCCTTTTCCTTTGCATCGATTTGATTCTTATCCTTTATGACGTGTCGCCAGTTCACTCACTTACATTTGGATATTTGTCGTTTAATTCGTGGCTTGAAACTTTTGACCGGTTTGCTAAATGTCGCGAATTCAAGCTTAAGTTGCTAAGCAGTACGCTGTGATCTAATGCAGACAGCTGTGTTTGCAGCGTTCAACCTGGGACTGAGCTCACATAGCGCCACGCGTTGTCGCGCGTCATCGCGGTTATCCTTACCACTAAAAAGCGGGTTATGTATGCTCTCGACCGTTCACGTCATGCAGCGGTGTGCGGTAAAACTTCGTGTGCATGATTCATTCGAAATACGACGGCGTAATCAAAGAGCATAAATATTGGATGACCTGGCTGCCCTACAGCCAACACCACCGCTCTTTTTACTATGAATTGTAAAGTTGCTAGCATGTCAAACCATTTGCCATTCCCAGTCATTTGAACAAAAAAAATCATGCCACATGCAATTTTGGCAGCTGCTCTTGCTACTCGCTAATACATGTACATATATTTCTTTCGATTATGGGTGTATTTTGTATTTGCTACACACGCTAACAACATTTAGGGTAGCGTCAATATGTCTCTTGCAGAGGATCAAGTACACTTTTGAGGCTTAATTTTTTTCCCGGCACAAAATGTGTGAAAACACTTGGCATAAATGACTGGATTTCACCATTTCTTCCTTGTCGCTCACAAATGGGAAGTATACGAAATACTTACGACGGTAATGTTTATCCTTGATATAATGCAATACAATGTTAAACAAGATACCATATGAACTTGATGTGCTGTAAGTTTGAGAGTGGAAGTGCAGACGTCCGCGATTTTGCTTTATGAGATCAGGCACCCGCACACAGGCTGTTTTTGAACTTTTCCCCGAGCGCCTGCATCCGGCGTGCACCGGACCGCGGATTTTGTAGCAGATGGCGCCACGTCCTTTATCGGGTGGCGCCACCTGCACAAAAACGCGGCCGTCCGATTTGTCCTTTCATGTCAGTGTTCGCGGCTCCATGCGAGTAGGCAAAGTGGGCAATTAGTTTCAGTCACTTTTAAGTGCTACATATCATGGGGTGACACGTTCATCGCTCATAAAATCTCGCAATACTTACAAGTCGGTTTTTGCTACGCGTCGGGTCATATGAGAGCACGAAACGAATGGAGGTTCTAGTCGAACCAGCCAAGACGCGGACGTCTTGCCAACACGCCAGAGAGCAATCTTTAAGCCAGTAGACCAGCAAAACGTCACTGAGGCACTACGGAACCATGTTCTGCACCAAACGAGATTGCCCTAGCGTGTAGTTAGTCCGTTACCAGCACAGCTGTTGAAAAAAAAAATACTGCAATAAGACGAAAATGTGTTTCAGATTCCGCACCTAGTAAAAGCATGGTGACCGACAGGTGACAGATGACTTCAACTTAACCTGTGCAGATATTTTGATGTTTTTTTATAAAGCAGGTCCATCCTATTTTGTTTCTTAACCTACTGCTGTTCAAGAAACTAAATGGTGGGTGTTTAACTGCTTCGTTGGCCTGAAGAGGAGTGTTCCATATCTTACTAAATTTTTAGCCGAAACAGACATTTCGAAAATCATTCGACGCAGCTTGCAGCCTTGCCCTTCTTCAGACCTAAGCCCCTCTAGTATTTAAGCGAAACGCCCGCAGAGATGGACAGACTATTTCGTGTGGACGGTTTAAAGGTCATTTGGGCATGTATGACGCTATAGCCACATCATTCGAATCATGCAAACCGGCAGGCCAGATGACGTCCAAGGCCAGGAAGAATATTATCGCCTATGTGTTCAGGTGTGGCGTCTGTGTGCTTAGTAGACAGCAATTAGCTCCCAAGCAGTCTGTGCGCTTAGTAGACAGCAATTAGCTCCCAAGCAGTAGTGAGCAAGCTGTGCAAGTTTCATTCGGAAAGCACGTTTCACGTTCATATAGTTTGGTTTAAGGCGTTTCGGTGCGTCCAAACCATTTCATGCCTCGAAGAAAAAGAAACAAAAAAGGGGTTGCCAAAGCTTATTCATAGGGTCTGAAGCGGGTTTAGACGTTTTGGAAAACTGAACAAAATATCAGGCAGATGTGGATGATCATCACCTTATAGGTTTCTTAAGTTGACGGCCATAGGTTCGCAGGATACTCTGTTCTTCTTGATATTCAAAAGAACATTGTACATCAAGGAGGTTTTTTACTTTGGTAACTGTACGGCCGACGGAGAGAAGAGCTACGCTGGCTGCAGGGCTCGTGTTCTGTCGTGCTGGGGAAATGCTGTGGGGCATCAGCTGACATTGTGATGTCACTGAAAATGGCTCTGCATTGATCGGGGTTCTTTTGGGCTGACTGAAGGCCATAAGGCATTTGCTGGCAATATGATGTCACTGGTGTTCGACTGGGTATGTGACGTCACTGGTCGTGACGTTTTAGGGCTCTTTCGGGTCACATTAACGCCGTAAGGCATCACCTGACGATATGCCGTCACTGGTATTCGATTAAACATCAGGCGCATGGCACATCTACTTGAAGGGGCCAACGACCCGAGCCAGGGCAAGCACAATGCAAACCTTGGAGATCTCCCAACGAATAAATTTGCTGCATTGCACGCTGAGCCCGCCTCAACGGTCTGAGCCGGACATGCGACGGCATGTGTGGGATATTACAGTGAATTCATATATTGGATATTACAGTGCATTATAAGCACCGGGAGATTTGCTGCGTACTCGTACCCACCGCTTTACGATAAATGTGCCGGCAAAATAAATGAGCCGCAGTGGTCGTCCTAGATATATTGGCCTCAATGAAAACACTTATAGATAGTTACATACGAAAATACAGCAATGCCCGCCGCATGTACAATACGCAATTCGCTGGACCTGTTGCCAGCGACATTTTGACAACAACAGTGAGTCTACAGCACACGAGGGAATGATCAAAACTTCAGGTCCCTGATGGCGGCTGGCAGGTCTGGTAGCGTGATGTCCTTGATTTGCTGTGTGATGTTGACGTTCTCCACCATCGAGACAGCCTGGCCGGCGTCGCCGCGAATCCTTCCTGCGAACCGCGCCACAGATTCTAGCTACCGCCGTTCGGGACATTGTGGGCGACAATCGAATGGTTGGTGAGTTAGTGCAAACGCGACACGCTCTGCTTATCGAGTACATTAAGTCAAAAAGCAAACGTGGAAAACGATCACCACTCCCTTTTTACATTCAGCATCGAATATCCAAGTTCTCTCCGAATACAATACGTATTTAAGACAAGAAAGTCCTACAAATTCCTGGTTATATGGCGGTATCAGTTGAAAGGTCTTATGTTGGGCTACCAACCTACACTAAACCAGAGAGTATTGGTTAAATGATGTTGCAATGCTTTGTAGCGAGCGCAGTTCTAAATATTGACTATTGTCAATAAAATCCTTATTTAGCATTACAACATCGTTTCATCAGCATCTCCTGGTAAAAGGAAGGTCGTAAACCACACATAAAAGCTTTCAACTCGACGCGCAGAAATAAAGCTAGCACAGTATCAGGGCCTTTCGTAAACATATTTGGCCTAATCCGAGCTAGGTTGTCACAACAGCGCAGACGGAGTGAGCTGTGGCACCAGGACAAGCGCGACCAGTCAGCCGCAGAGCGACGTGCTAGTGGGCGCGGAGAGGCACGGACGGGCCATCACTGACCTCCTGCTTCTCCAGCCTGTTCTGCTCCTCGGTACGCGTGATGACCTCCGTCATGCTGGTCTCCAGGACCATGCCGCCCATCACGATCTCGTTCAGAATGTAGTCCACCTGGAGGGAGAGTTCGTAGAGTCATTTCCGCCATGATGACGCCTGAAGACTGCGACAGCACGACACAGATTCGTTGATGACGGGCAGTCGGGGCCGAAACATGGGACGACTGTTTAGCGATGATGTAGGCCAGGGATTAAACTAATCTGGGTCGAACCAGTCAGTCAAGTCGCAAGCCCAAGATCGCCGAGCTCTAACAGCCTATCGGATCTCTACCCCGGCCGACCGAACACTGAACCCACGGCATGTCTCTCCCGCGCCAGAACAGCCGATGGGTCTCTGCCCCCGCCGACCGAACACTGGACCCACGGCATGTCTCTCCCGCGCCAGAACAGCCGGTGGATCTCTACCCCGGCCGACCGAACACTGAACCCACGGCATGTCTCTCCCGCGCCAGAACAGCCGGTGGATCTCTGCCCCGGCCGACCGAACACTGAATCCACGGCATGTCTCTCCCGCGCCAGAACAGCCGGTGGATCTCTGCCCCGGCCGACCGAACGCTGAACCCACGGCATGTCTCTTCCCGCGTCAGAACAGCCGGTGGATCTCTCCCCCTGCCGACCGAACACTGAAACCATGGCATGCCTCTCCCGCGTCAGAACAGCGAATGCTAGCCCCGACCACTCTGCCTGCAGCCGCCGGCCATCAGCAATAAGGGCCCTGACGCCTTTGGCCAGTCTCGGCTAACACATACGGAACGAACCAGGAGGTGATGAACTTTACCAATCACGAATATTTGCCGATGCGAAGGCTTGCATACAACCAACCTTTCCTTGTAAACCATATTCTGTCAAAGCAAACAACTGCACACGACCCGCCTCCATTGTTAGCCTTCGCCATTGCTTGAATCGCCTTATCCAGATGTGCGTTCCACTCACCCACCGCGGTTAGCGCAGGAAGAGTCAGTGCTTCCGGGCACATCAATAACTTTCATACAAGTCCTCATGCTTACGACCCTAGCCCTGCCGGCCTCAGCTAACCTTGATGACGTGGAAGACCAGGTCCAGCCCGCAGACGTCCTCAAAAGACTTGTCCAGCGTCTCGACGAGCACCTGGATCAGGTCGAGGATGCCGAGCTCGACTCAGACGAGTCCACGCAGAACACAAAATACAGCGTGGCATAGTGTCGGTGGATGAGCTTGTAGTCAGAGCTGCGGATCAACCTGTTAAGCCGACGCAGTACACACAGTTTTAAATTAATAGGAGGCCCAGTGCTGCCCCCGTGACTTGCTGACCGACGCCACGCAAGCTGCGATCCACGGATGATTGAAATACCTCATCATTAACTCATGATACAGAGCATGACACAATGGCTTTGAGAATTACGCAGTTGAGTGAAATGTTCACGGTTTCAATATCAGGGCGCTGTCACCTACGTGCCGCCTTCCAAAAAATTGCAGACGTTGTCCTCCCTCTTGGACACCAGTTGAAACGTTTCCTTGATGATCTTTTGCTGCATTTCCTCCTTCTGCAAAAACGCAAAATGTAATGAAACTATACTGCCAACGGCGCACATTCAAGAGCAAGAACAAGGGCGGACGTACATATAGTTGAGGATCAAGTCCAGCCGATCGCCCTTGTCTCTCATCACCCCTCGTCCGCGTTTTGAAAATGTGGCGTTACGCTGAGGTTCGAGTGCAAAGCATGCTTAAATTTGTTTTTAGTTCAACACGTTAGCAAGGGATTTCCGGAGATTCAGCGTAATCATTGTGTAGCAAGAGAAGGGTTGGAAATTGATAAAAATGTGTTTACACCCTCAACCGTAATGGGGGACGTGCCCCTGACAACTTTTGAACTAAGACAAACATCAGGATAAGAATCAGTATGTTGCCCATTGCTTGAGGTACTCAGCTATACCCACTTTGGGGTTCCAGGTCCATAGGTGACCTCCCCAGTGACGTCAAAACTTGAAATGTCCATATCGGAAACCACGCGAAATGTTCTACCCAGCATCATTTCCAAACTATTGAGCAAAAAACAATTATGTGGCACAAGCGTCTTCCTTGGTTGCTTCTTTGAATCTGGAAATGCATGTTTTCCTTGGTCCGGGTCAAAAGAGTGACTTTTCAAGCCATGAGGGATGATCCAGCTACAGCGCAAACACGGCACGGATGACGGCATCGTCGCCTAGCGAAGCAAGGCCGCAGTCACTTGCACATTGCCCCATACGGTCCAACCATTATGCGGCGTAGGCCGAGACGGTCCAGCCATTATACGGTGTAGGCCGGGACGGTCCAGCCATTACACGGTGTAGGCCGGAACGGTCCAGTTATCAAAAGGTATAGGTCGAGACGGCCCAGTCATTGTAATGTGTAGGCTAGGAGAGTCCAGCCTGTCCATGGCTCACGCATACATGAGCGAGACATTGCAAGACAGTCCTGCTTGTGATGTTTCAGTTAGTTCATGTTCACGTGATTAAATAAGGCGACATACTGTGGCGAGGACTTGGTTGAACCAATGCGATGCAAAGGAGGGTTATGTGTCGCTCGATGTGGATTCGTGACTAAAACAAAACATGAGCTTGGCTCATTGTTCATAGTGTATGTTGATGTCACGTGTCGCACATATTGCGGACATATAACGTATATGCAGTCTCCTCAAACATGTATCTCACTTTTCTGGCTGCGGCCTCTTCAATGGTAGATATAATTGCAAATAAATGCATCGGTCTAGAGCGCGTATCGCTGGACTCGGGTCCATAAGCGTGGCCCCGTCTTGGAACATGATGACGGTCGTCTGACGTGGCGCGCCTTGCTCCGCTGGACGCGGACACGGGCCCACCGCGGGCGTGGTCCTGTGACTGACGTCACACACAGCAATATGACGCCATCGGCCCAGGCGTGACGTCAGATCGTGTATCGCCAGCGCTGAACTGGCGCGCAAGCTGCAGGACGAAGAGGGACGGGGCTAGGGAGCAGCAGCAGCAGCAGCAGACGCAGCAGACGCAACAACAGCAAACACAGCAGCAACAGCAGCAGTAGCGGCAGGCCCGGGCGGAAGGCACCAGCAGATCACGAGAGCAAGATGAAAACTGTGAGTGGCACGGGCTCACCGGACGGGCGTTGAGCGGTGCTGCTGTCACTGCCGTCACTGCCCTTAAGGTGTGCGGCGGCGATTTTCAGGTGTGCGTTGGTGCTTCGTAAATTATATGCTCGCGGGCAGCGGTACCGACGACTCGCACTTCTGGCGCGGATGCGTGACTTCAAGGCATAGACCATTGTCACCAATTTCCAAGTACCTTGAAATTCATAGTGGAGGGACTGTTTGGCGTTGGAGTTCGGCTGCAGAAATTCCCCCTGCGCACTGCCGCTCTGGCTAAGAGAACCTCTTAACATAAGCTTGAACTTTCCTTTGATAAAGAATTTCAAAAACCGTGTACAGTGTGCGGCCGCACTACTGTTAGTTTCAGATAGCTCGAGAAGGAGCTCGAAAACCCGGCGTTAATACTGACGGTTTCTTGTGCTTGCCGTTCATGTGTTCTACTGACAACATGTGCTCGTACAAGCGCTAGTGCCTTGCGTCTCGCGCGCTGCCGCCGAACGGCGCCACGGCCAGCCCGACCGATCCCTGAATCCGTGAGCCCTGACATGACTAGACCGTGACACGACAGAGGTCGTGCACACTGTGACACGACGGCGTGACACGACCGTGACACGACTGTGACACGACCGTGATACGACAGAGACCGTGACACGACCGTGACACGACAGAGGCCGTGACACAACTGTGACACGACCGTGATACGACAGAGACTGTGACACGACCGTGATACAACAGAGACCGTGACACGACCGTGATACGACAGAGACCGTGACACAACCGCGTCCCTGTTGCAGTGCAGCGTCATGTAGCAGCAGCGGAAGCCGGCTCGGCTGTCGGCGGCCGCCCCCCGCTTCCTCCACCTCCGCTCCCACCGGCTCGCCGCCACCGCGACGGCCGCCCATCCGGCCGGCTGCGACCCGGCTTGTTTGCGCTTCAGAGCCGTGTGCGGCCTGGCGGGCGGGCGCGCGCTCCGTCGATGCCTTGGCCGCCGGCCTGGTTTATTTTTTTAAAGATATATTGCGCGCCGCGCTAACCAGACAGGCTCGGCCGCGCCCTCGGGACAGCCAAAGAGGCGTCCGAACGGGCGGACTGGCGAGCGACGCACCGAACAGTCCTGTGATAGCGGCCATGTTGGCTCCCGGGCGGCGGTGGGGCGTCCAGGGCTCGGCCGCGCAGCCTTCGACTACGCAAACTTCGTGGGAATACATACTCGTCACGTGTTTTATTTGGAAGCTGTGTGTGGGGTACCTTGGTGTGAACGTCTGCAGCAGTCCTGGAATGTTGGACTTTGCAGCAATGGACTCCCAAGCAGTAGGCACCGGAACACTCAACATGTTCGCGTCCGCCTATTCTTGGAGCCATTGTGGATCGTTGACGCAGAGCTCTGAGTGGCTGGGACGGCCAAGGACCTTCAGGATGGCGCATCAGTGGAACATCTAGTGTGTTCATCGAAGCACGTCGATGAATTTGCGTAAATGGGATCAATCAATCGATTGGTTAATGTGGATCAAAAAGTTTATCATCGTTAACAGTTGGTCGGTGGGTTTCAAATCCAGTTTTCAGCTTTAGCCACAAGACAGAAGCTTTGCTCCCACTTGCTGGGGGACAGTGCCTTATTTCGGACACCGCTCTGAATGTCTTCTTAGCTGTCTCTGGGCTGGCTGCAGTCTCAGGTCACGGACTGGGTCGAACCCTTCAGTTTCCGGGACTGTAATCAAATGGAGAATGAGGCAAGAGTTGATTTGAACCAGTTTGGGGCACGGACATGTGTCCCATGTCAGAATGAGTTGGACTTGGCCGCCGGCGCTCACTGGACCGGCGGGCGTCGCACCCCACTACCGGATCGGCCCGCTCCTGAGATGGGGTCCTCGCCGCCGGCGCTCGCTGGACCGGCGGGCGTTGCACCCCACTACCGGATCGGCCGGCTCCTGAGATGGGATCCTTGCCGCCGGCGCACGCTGGACCGGCTGGCGTCGCACCCCACCACTGCGGAATCTGGCACCGAGCCGTGCGGGCAGCCCCCGGCGGAATTTGACAGTTCAAATACACAGCAGTGCCGTTATATTGGAAACACTTCCCGCAGCGGCAGGATGGTTTCAACGGTAGAATGCACATTAATGGTTGAATGGAGATGTATCGACAGGATGGTTTCAATGGTAGAATGCACATCAATGGGTGAATGGAGATGTATCGTACGAACAGCAGCGAGGGGCGCAAAAGCAGCCGTTCTCACACTAAAACTGCTACAGCCACAGGTCACGACCGTCGCGAAAACGCCGCCAGAAAATGCCACAGGCCTAATTTTGGTAAAGACTGGCCCCAGCTCGGACTATTCACAGCACTAGCGTCTTGTAACGAGCACAGAGGACGAGCGACAGAGTACACAGCAGCCAGCGGCGGCAGAATACACAGCAGCCAGCGGCGACAGAACGCACAGCAGCCAGCGGCGGCAGAATACACAGCAGCCAGCGACGGCAGAATACACAGCAGCCAGCGGCGGCAGAATACACAGCAGCTAGCGGCGACAGAATGCACAGCAGCCAGCGGTGGCAAAATACACAGCAGCCAGCGGCGACAGAATGCATAGCAGCCAGCGGCGATAGAATACACAGCAGCTAGCGGCGACAGAATGCACAGCAGCCAGCGGCGGCAAAATACACAGCAGCTAGCGGCGACAGAATGCACAGCAGCCAGCGGCGGCAGAACGCACAGCAGCCAGGGCGGACCGCCCAGCGATATCAGCCGCTCGCTAGGAGTGTCCGGACAAATTCAGCAACCGAGCACGTCCGCATAACACAGCGTCCTGTGCATGGACTCCGCGCCGGAAAATTTCGCCTGCACGCAATCAGTATACTCGGCACTACCTTCACACGCAAAGGGAAACGCCTATGGCCCTTACAGGAATGCCCGAACTCAAGCTAAGCACATCAAGAGAAAACTGGCTAATACGTGACTGGGAAGTCATGTCTTGGACAGTGGGACATTGTTAGCATTCTGATTTTATCGGAAACAAACGCTAAGTGTGGTTTAACTCTTTAGAAACCTCAATCGCGCTGGTCTTTTACGGGTTGTCTCTAGAACGATACCAGAGTTTTAGTTTTTTTTATAAAAGCACAACAAAATACAACTTATCGACGAATTCAACAGGTTGGTGCAGCTGGCATAGCAACGGTGAACAAAATGCGCTCTCGGTGAGAAAATCGCAATGCCGGGCAGTCCAGCAGTCACGCGCCTCGGGGTAAGTCATAATGTTAGGGATTGTCACAAATGCGCACATACCAAGTGTCACAGTTTTCGTGGAAGCCTACGCACGTATGCCCTTCGAACGTCGAAACCCGGGCAACCGATCACTATCATTCTTCGCATGTATGTTCAGGAATGAGATTAAACTCCAGTGGCGTTCTGACGTCGACACTGCCGTTTTCGAGAACGAGATTCTGAGAAAACATGGCGAAAAGGGTGTCAATATTAAAAAGAGTCTACTTCACCGAATACCGCATCAGTGAGACACAGCCGGCGCAAAAGACCCAGGATGTTCACCGCACGTCGACACCCATCACGTCCGACGTGGCGACTCGTGGGCCCGAGCGACCCCAGCCGCCCGTGCCGGCGACGCCGTTAGCCGTCCTCCCCGCGCTCCAGTCGGTGGCGGCCTTGCGAACGAACCGTGTGAGCGAGGTGAAGTCAGGGGGTTCATCGCTGGCCGGCGTCAGGCGGCCAACGCGAGAACTCGATCTCCTCCGACTAGCCGTCGGCCGCGTGACCGGCAGACGAGACCGAGGCCGCCGGCCAGCGCCTGTGCGACGGCGCGTACAGGCAGATGACGGCCATCGTGTAGACATTCCACATGCCGTATACGCCGGTCAAGATGACCGACGTGTACTCGAGCGGGATGTCGCTGTCCCATTTCCAGGAGCCCTCGGCCACCTGGCCCAGGATGAACCCGATCACTGTCATGGCGGCGCAGGCCAGCGTAGCTAGCATCAGGTACTTGGAGCGGCAGATGATGCCCTCGTGGTGCAGCCGGCGCACCGACGACATGGCCGGCAGCGCCTGACGCTTGATGCTGATGTTGCAGAACACACGCCAGATCATCCAGCAGAGGAAGCAGAAGTAGAGGCCGGCCGACACGCCGGCCATGACGATGAAGCTCAGCGCCAGGTTGGTGCCCACCTTGGTGCCCCAGATCGAGTAGAACGGGTTGGTCAGCTGCACGCCGCGCTCCCACATGTCGAAGATGAAGAGGGAGAGGCAGCCGCAGGCGACGGCCGACAGGTGCTTCCAGTAGGCGGCCAGCCGGTTGCGTTCGCAGTCGTCCGATACCAGCTGGTGTTCGCCGGCGAACACCAGCCAGAACGAGAGCAGCACCACGTAGAACACGCTCTGCCGGATGTCGGTGATGAGCAGCATGTACGGCATGTCGAACCGCAGCGTCAGGAACTCCAGCGGTAGGTTGAGTACGCACAGCGCCACGCCCAGCGTCAGCAAGAGGCATTGAATGAGCGCCGGCTCGCGCGGCACCGCCTGCACGCGCCGCCAGAACCAGATCAGCAGCAGCACCACCAGCGGTAAGAAGGTCGTCTTCATGGCTACCCACGCCTTGGTGAAGCCGCCGTTCTGGAAGATGGCCACCAAGTGGACGTCGACCAGCTTGCCAATGTCGGCGTTAAGGCCGGTATACACGTCGGTGGGCATGCGCAGATTGAGCAGGTAGTAGTCGTGGTGCAGCGAGCCCAGCTCGAAGAGTGGCACCAGCTGGCAGCTGTACTGGTACTTGTGCTCCGGCTCCAGCTCGCAGTCCAGGTGGCGCTCCTCCACCGAAGCGGCCAGCTCGCTCCAGTCCTCCGTCTTGTCGCCCTTGTTCTTATAGCCGAGGCGCACGTGCAGCGTGAGCGTGGCGTTGGGGGCCGGCTCGCACCTGACGTCGTAAGCTATGTCCAGCTGCAGCACGCCTATGAGGTTCTGCTGCCAACGCGTGAAGTCCAGCATCTGGCCCCTGCGCAGTGGCATCTGGAAGGCGAACACCACCTGTTCGGACGTGATGCCTGTGCCCATCAGCTCCTCAATGAGGTCGACCATCTCGCAGCGCTTATGCTGGGATGGGATGCCCCAGACTTGGAACCAGTGGTGCGGGTGCTGGTCGCGGTCGATGCACTTGGTACCCAGCACGCTCTGCGAGGTGGACGGCGCTGGCGCCAGCAGGCCGCCCAGCAGGAAACAGAGCAGCAGCGGCAGCAGCAGCGCCAAGCACAGCGTCGCCAGCTTGCGGCCGCTTACCTTCTCGATCACGGCACCCACCATGGCCGCTGATGTGGGGAGCAGCCAAAGCAACGGGCCAAAGCTGGTCGGTGGCGATAATCAGGGGGCGCTGGAGATGTGCCAGGTAATCTGGAAGAAAACAGCAGTGATCGCCCATATCATCAACTAACCAATATTCCAAACTTCTATCACATGCAAACACTGAAAAATCCACGAAATCCCATCTTCTATTAGAAGCACTCATCACTTGGTACGTGCCGGCTGATAAACTTACCAGTTGTACGCACCAATTACCTTACATATTTACACTCTTAGCACTCCAATGTCCTTATATTTACATTCCTGATGATCTGCCTCCTCCTGATATACTTGCTTACCTGATGTGATCTGTCCCTTGATACTGATTTGAGGTCTGTTGCATGGCTTCATACCTGGCCTGTGTTGTACAGGTCAGGTATGAAGCCAGGTATTATACAGGCGGGATGGCATGCGACTCACATGCCATCTAAATATAATAAATTACGTTTCAAAAATCGTGTTATAGTTGTCTCCAGACTGGCGCCTTTGGAACATCAGGAAACTTCAGTGCTGGCGGGCCATGTGGGGGAGGAGGGTTACGAAGCCATCGGCTAATGAGACTATACCAAAGATTTCGCACCGCCATTTGGATTTCTTTTGAAAACATCGAGGCTAGAAGACAGTGTCCATGGTCATCAGCGTAAGTACCGTCTTGAAACACTGAATATCATCACACTATATTCAAATGAGTGCTTGGTACATTAGATGAATAAGTGCCTGTGAACGTAATGAAGGTTGACGACGTTTAGCTTAGATCCTACGATATCGGAGAACCAAGAGCTTAAAGCATTGCTAGCTTATATTAAGTTGAGAGGACTACCTCAAATAGTTCGGAAAAAAATTCGAAGGTTAATTTGGTACTGGCATGCACATACGGCCAACTCAATGAATTTCAAGGGTTTTGAGAAAAAAAAATGACACACCTCATCTCTCATAAGCATTAAATTCCATGACAGATCTAAATATAATGCCGTTCACATCAAGACATGTGCCTCCATAAGTGTTCAATACATGTAGCCCGCAGGCAGCCGTGACCAGTTTGAGCATCGTTGGGAAACACTTCATGATCATGGTGAGTCATTTCCAGACTATGTCCACAAGTCCCGTGGTGCTTGTGGACATAGTCTGTGGACGTAGTCATCGTCATATTTAGTGGTTAGTGAACACAATCATAGTCAAAACGCGTTTTAAAGCGGCTGAGAGAGAAGCTAAGTACATTTCCTAAGACAAAAATAATGCACACAAATGCTCCTGGATGTGAGAGGCTCTAGCTGTTTAGCCAAGCTGACCAACTAGATCGGAAGCTAGCTTATTACAGGACATTCGAATAAAACATTGGCACGATCTATCCAAATGTCTACAACAGTGACACGGCGCCGAGCACTGCACAGCGTTTACCTTCCATGCGCCCATCTCGGTCCGACGCCGGGAGCCGACTGAGACGATTCGTGGTGCACCCTCAAAATAAACCCAGCTATCCAGGCTGACGTTTATCAGAGCAGCAGTGATCCCGCAGGGGGAACCGGCTTCAGTCGGTGTAGGGGACTAGCGCCCCGTCGTGTCCCAGCTCCGGTAACGGGTGGACAGCGCAAGCTGTTCCTCTCAGGGCGTAGCGACCCTGCCGGTACGTGAGCTCCCGCTCCTTGTCCCGCCCGCTCCCTTCCCACTACCCGCTTTCCCGCATCCGACCCACTCATCACTCCTAATCCTCGTTTTATCGGGGTCGCCGTGCCCCCTCTCCCGCGTCCCCGGGTTGATCGGATCCTGGTGGCTGAGGGGCGTGTCTTGCGGGTCAGTTGCGGCGCGTCCCAACACTCCACTTCGGCCAGGATATTCGGTGGCGCGGGGGGCCCGTGGGGCCCCACACTGGTTTAGCGGCTTGTCGCTCGCGCTGGGGCTGGGTGCTCCGTGTGGGTCTCCGCTTTTGGCGCCTGGCCGTGTGCAGCGGCTTAAGGGGTCAAGGGGCGGCGGCGCTGAACCACGGTCAGGACGGGGAGGGGTCTCCCCGGTTACACCTGGCCGTGTGGGAGGCGTCGTTCGCCCCGTATAGCACCGTGGTAGCCCTGGCGGTGACCACCTCCCGAGGGAGTGTTGGGCCGTCCCCCAGTTGGGCTCCGTGGTGAGTGAAGAGCCCCGGTGCCGAAAGAAAGCCCCTTTTTGCATGGCTCTAAAAACACCCGTCCCCCGAAAGAGGGTCGGATCACGATAAACCGAGGGTGCAGAAAAGACTGCTATCCCCGGACCACGGATCTTCGTCTTCGAAAGTGACGAGATTAGGCTGGCGTCCCTGTTACCGTTTCAGAGACGAAATAGCTGCGACAAATTTGGAAAAATTATAAGATGTGACAAGCTCCGGGATGGAAAAATAGACGTTTAATTTGCTAGTGACTTGGAGGCGAGTCGGGCTCTGGAAGAAACTGAATTTTCGTTCAGTGTTCGGGATTGGGCTGGTGAATGGGAAAAAACAGCGCCAATGGCAGCGACGCCACACAACACCAAAAATTCGTCCAAAGGCGTGGTGAACTGTTTTGACCTGCGTGACATTGACGAGGAATAGATCGTGGAGGAGCTCTCAGAGTTTGGAGTGACCGCCGCTCGACGGATCCTTGTCAGAAGGGGAGGAGAGTTGGTGCCCACCAACAACCTCATACTCACGTTTAGTCGCCCTGACTTACCGTCCGAGATACGTGTGGGATGCGTCCGCGTGAAAGTTCGTCAGTTTTTGCCTAACCCCATGCGGTGCTATCAGTGCCAGCGATTTGGTCACACGAAACCCGGCTGTCGGAACCGCACAGCGTGTGGCAAATGTACGTCCCCCGGGCACATGAGCGAAGACTGTACTTCCGAAAACCCCACCGTGTCAACTGCGGCAAGGACCAAGTTCCGCACATGTCGCACGACCGTGAATGCCCAGCCCACGCCAAGGAGAAAGAAATCATGTCAATCAAAACTTCTAAAAACGTATCCTTCCGTGAGGCTCGAGAGCTTTATAACGAGACCCACCCAAAAACATCGTACGCATCGAAAGTGAAAATTTCGTTGCCGCACACTAATGTGATCGAGGGAATGATGGCTGTTCAACTTCTGGAACTTTTGAGATCATTTGGCCTATCAGTTGTACCCTCAGCACGCGCGCTGGACTCGCAGCCAGCACCCCACGATCCATCCCCACCAACCGAGCAGTCGGTGGCCGCCGTGCAGTCGGCCTCCTTGGTACCGGTGGGATCGCCAAAAAAATGACGGCTGGACGACGGTTCGGCGTGGCTGCAGCCCTCGCGCGCCGTCGGGTATTCCTTCGTCTGAGACACCACCGGTCTCCTCATCACAGACACCCCTCGCCAGTGCCTGTGAACGTGTAGCAGAGACGAAGAGCGTCAGGAGGCTGACAGGCGCGCCCGCGAAGTCATGCGAGCGCGTCTGGTTGAGCAAGAGAGGACGAAAGCAATTAACCGGCTGCCGGAGGCGGACCCGGGGCGTGCTCCCGCGGGGGAAGCCGTTCCACCGCCCATACGACGCGTAGAGTCCCCTGGTGGATCATCCGAGGTTCGAAGGCAACCGGTGGGCCCTCCTCCGCCGCCATCTAGGGTCACGGCTTTGCCGGCACCGTCCCCGCCTAGAGTGGGGCGCCCGGAAAAGCGTGGCTCTCCCTGGCACTTCTCGCCCACAGACGGCAGCCCACGTATTCGGCACAAAACCCGGCCGGCGTCGGTGGGATCAGGCCCCGATGGGTCCTTGCACCCCGTAGCTGAACCATCTGGGTGTGCTAAGGCCGGCACAGCCGAGTACTTTCAAAAGTAGGTCTGTTTTACACTTACAACCCAAACACATGCCCCCCCCCCCACTCCAGAAGGCGTCGAAACCGCGGAGTGATAAGAAGCTAATGACCGTCCTTACCGGTAATGACTTAGTAAGGTAAGTAATGACTTACTTACCGTCCGTCCGGTTTTCGACCTCAAAGACAGTCTCCGTCCACTTTTGTGGACGCCGGCGTCAGTGTCCCGACATGGTGCCTAAGCTTTATGGACAGTCGACCCCCTGCAATACGGCGGCATGGTTTTGGGATTACATTTTGATAAGCGCTTGACCTGCAAGGAGTATCTTATCATTCTGCGTAACAATTGTTTTAAGACACTTAACATATTGAAATGCGTGGCACGAACATTCTACGGAGCAGATCGGAAAACAATTGTATTGTTACACCGTTCACTGATACGCTCCAAACTGGACTATGCGTGTTTTGTATATGATGGCGCCTCGGTGTCCGCAAAACGTACAATGAATGCGGTCCATCGTGCCGCGTTGGGAATCATTACTGGTGCTTTTCGTACGTCTCCGACAGCCAGCTTGCTTGTGGAAGCCAACGAACCCTCGCTGGCTACCCGAAGGCAGTTGTTGGGGATGCGGTACGTTTGCAATCTCGCGCAATTCCGGAACCACCCAACCCGTGCCGCTGTGTTCTCACGCCACACATTTAATGTTTTTCAGTGTGAACAAGCAACACGTGTGGCGCCGTTCTGTGTGCGTGTTCGTAATGTTCTCCGTGAGAGTGGCTTACGTTTTCGGGGTGTGGCACGCCCACGCAGCCTGCCGACCGCTCCGTAGGTAATGGTATTGCCAACTGGCGACGTCTCACTGTTGGAGGTTTGGAAGCAAAATATGATTCCGTATGTTGCCAGATCGACAGCTCTGAAGCATATCGAAACATATCGGGGTTCACAAGTACGTATACAGACGGCTCCAAAACGGATACGGGTGTTGGTTCTGCTTTTGTGTGTGCTACCGATACGCGATCAATTACACTGCCAGCCCATGCGTCTGTGTATACTGCAGAGCTCGTGGCCATCATTAAGGTGTTTTGCTTTATAGAGGTGGGCGAAGACAGTCTGCACTTGATTTTGCCGGATTCCCTAAGTGCTCTTTCGGCATTAAGACGTTTTAATCCGGTAAATCTCCTTATACAGGAT